CACTGGTTTTGCCAGGAGAATATTAGTATTTCCTTGATAACACTTCGTTAAACGCAACTTCTTCAAAATAAAACTTTCATTTATCCCTTTTTTGGTATGGTAGTGCTTAGCAAAAAACAGACACGTTGCTTGTCAAGAGTTGGCATCCGGCAAAACCATTGGCATCCGGCAAAACCATCGGCATCTGGGTTCAGATTATCATTTAAATAAAAGAACCTAGCATGCTTCGCAACCACGTGTGATCGGAACATCACACCGTCAAAAATGAAAACAATGAAAAGATCCAGGATTTTCAAAAGGTCCTTGGACGAAGACTGAAAGAAAGGCCACACCAGAAAATTTTTCAAAGCTGTATAAATGCAAGCTGCCTGTTCAGGCCGTTTGATTATGCAACGCCGCAGTACGATCATAATTTCACTTGCGCATGATTAACATAAAGAACATAAAATTGTCAAATCGCAAAAGAGCTGAAGAGTCCGGGCTCTGAAGAGGTTTGTTTTGAAGCGTTTTGGGGTTAATTGATATCTGAAATCGCGGAGTTGAAGACCAACAATCGTACAAGCACACATGTGGGTCCTTGTGCGCATATTAGCACGCGCAGTCATTCTCGGAACCATGGACCCACTTGCTCTTGGCCCTTTTTAAACCACATCAAAAGAGCGTTTTTTGCGGTCGACCTTGATAGGTGATCTCGGAGACCCGCCAAAACCTCAAGAACTAAGCAAGCTAGAGCGACGGAGATAATAAATTGGGAACGTCTCGTTAAACCGCATTAAGTAGGTGGGCCTGAATAATGGTGAATATGACCTGGGGGATTGAGCATGTCAAATCAGACTATATAGATCAACTTAGTTTTATAGGCAAACTCGGTTACCTCAAGAGTGAATGCAGAATACAAAAAGCGGGTTTCAATAGCGACGTTAGAGACCCTTCATATATGTAGTATAGGTGTCACCAAGTCTTTGAAGCATGTCTTTGAGGAGGACTGCTTAATAAGAAATAAAAAAATGTGCCACAAGTATGTTCACAAATGCGTTTTCCATGTTCGTGTTCTTCTAAATTTTTGAGGGCACAGTTAGAAAACAAGTTGGGAGAGCCTCCACCACTGCATAGGAAACTGCAGGACTCGTCCCATCCGTATTCATGGGTGTCCATGGTGCACCATGGTCTTTGGGGCTGGGGCCGGACCTGATTGTGCACAAGCGGCCTGGAAGCATCCTCTAAGTAAATCATTCACCTAAATAATATGCATTCCTCAACACCAGGCTCTAGATAAAGTTAATCAAGGGCACCAGCAATGGGCAGATTTTGGTGGTTGTTCCACCAATGTGCAAGTTGCATAAATCAAACACTTCACCCCTCACCCATCCAGCACTCCACACAAATATGTTCGTCCGCTGAACGCGCGCCCCACGTTTTTCCAGACCGCATCCAGTGTTGCTAAATCAAAACTTTGCTACGGAATCGGCGTCCTAAATTTACATCTTTTGATATCACAACACTAGTCTATGTAGCGTCTCAGAACTGGCATAGAACAACTTGATATTTCAACGACTTGTAGAAAGTAATATTGTGCTTTCTTTGATCACTCGTATTTTACAAATGACGGTCAGATAGCCGAAAAACCTAGGTTGGAAGTTTGGGTGACACTTAAACGCAGCAGTGACGAATGCAAAATAGACACATCCCTCAATTGCATAGAAAAGTTAGGACAAAAGCACTGCTTGAACGTTTTTACGCAACGTGATTTATCATTCTGATAAAATTTTGGTATCGGCCTCAGTTCAGTATGAAGTTCGCCTCAGTTCAGTCATCTAAGCCGCAAAGAGCGCCTTTAAATAGGCCCCTACTCATCTTAAGACATGATGTCGGAAACCATCAAAAATGCATGGTGTACGAGAAAGACAAATGTACATATAAGAACAAGACCATTTTGACTCAAAGTCTCTGAGCTACATGACCCAACTTCCAGGCATCATTTCATATGCCTAAGAACTTCATCCGTTTTTGCTGGCAGGAGTAAGGCAATGCCACGTCTAGGGTGGCAGTCGACATCCCTAGGGTCGCAATCGACACCTCGCTGCCGGTGAGAATGGAACTATCAGGGGCTAATCTGGTGCCCGTGTTACGACCCCGATTTGTTTATCTCTGTATATCACCTTGGTTTGAGCGTGGCTGGGGATCGGTGGGTTGTGGACTAATTAAGGCCCGTTAGAACTAGACCGGTGCGTCTGATCAAAGCGGCATTCGAGGTTATATTGCATTTGGACTGTTCCAATTGTCTCCGAGTAATTAACCCTCCTGTCATTACCTTGCGGTGTGATTGCGCCTCCATGACTCATGACCGTGTGGTGTGATGGAACATTTCAATGACATTGGATGCTATTAGCATGTAGATTGCAGCTTCCAGCCTCATTCTATGTTGATGCAATCTGTCAATGCTTGCCGCCTTATTGTCATCAAATATTGTTCAGTTATAGCTGTTTTTCTGTATGTGAGCTTTAATACATGATCTGTAGACATGTAGTTCATTTCAGCTTGCCACAAACTAAAAGAGAATGCATTTGGGCCTAAGGACTGTATTATGATGCACAAACTAAGTCATGTCAAATAGAGACAGGATGAGACATGCAGGATGTACGGTATGATAGTTTCAGAGAGAAGACATCATCTTCTCCATTCCTGTAGCTGACATTCTGTAGGATGCAGGGTATGATAAAGGATGGGCCCTGGTTCTTCTGTTGGGACACCTGGAAAATAAAGTCAGATTGCAGCCATTAAATGTCTCACATAATGCAAGCACTGCCCGTATCAAAGGTGGGAAATGTAACCCACAGGCCAAATCCTTGTTTTTTCTGGCTAACAGTCAATGGTGCACTCAGAAAAAAGTTGATTGTTGTGACTGGTTTTGTGGTGGAGCAGATGAAAAAGAGACAGTGTGTGGACTCATAAAAAATAATGACAAGGTGTCATTTTCCACCCAGATGGCATCAAAATTTAACGCTGGATTTAGCAGCATGTCACTGACATGATGTCAAGGAGGGAGTTAAAGGTCGTGGATTGCCCAAGCCAGAAACTTCAAGTTTTTATGGCGTATGTTCATTGGTGTGAGGTCAGCAAACTAAAAGTTTCAATACGGTGCCTAAAATCGTTCGGAAGCTATTCCAGAAATTTTTGATTGAGGTCTCAGGTCCCCTCTTAGGGTGGGACTTCCGGACTTATGCGAGATATTGGTGACTTGGGCGGATGCAGAGTAAAATAGACTGTACTCTGCAGTTTTATGTGACATTTGCAAATCACCGAGCCGTCTTAATGCTATATGACTCATAAAAGCACCAATGATACTGGGAAGCGGGTGTCCATGCAGGGGCGAAAGAAGTGTCTTTTCTGTCACCGACGAAATTTGGAACCGTCTGAATCCTCACCCGGGTCAAATATTTTACAAACCGTTGGATTATACCTCTAAATGCAATAAACCACAAAAAGCAAAGACAAATTACATGCGATGAGGCATAATCATCAAACATCTTTGTTTCGGGACTTGATTTGCACTTAAGTTTCCGTTGCTGGCCATCAGACACTGAATGAGATGGAGACTAACCTAGCAGAATTATCGGATAAAGGCATGCTTACATAACCAGCCTAAAGGCATATAACTTCCTATTCAGTTGGAGAGGCGGGGGGGGGGGGGGGGGGGAGTCGGGATTATGCGTCCGAACCAGGGATGCAATTTCCTATTTCAGTTATCATTTTTATCCATTATTTGTAATTTATCGTAATTTGGGATTCAGCACCCAAAAACTGATTTTGAGAAACTACACCCCTGCTGCCAGCTGCCAAAAATTGCGCCAAATCTGGGAAGAAAACTTTTAAGTGTATTTCTGAAGCAGGCTCAGGTATTTTTCTTTCAGCACCTGCACCTTCCCCCTCCCCCTCCATCCTTCACCCCTACGCGTTTTGCAAAGCTGCATCCCTGTAGCCCTACATTTACCGATAACATGGTTTTACAAGCACCTAAAACAAATACTTTTGTTTTCGTGACGTCATCGCACAATCAGCTGAAAGCGTTGACGACCTTCATTATCGTCGCATAATCATTGTCGGCGCAGAACTCGCACTCCCTAACATGATCCGAACTATGTAGAGCAAAACTCATACAATATTGATATCAACAGATGCAAACGACATTTTTGAACACCTCTGGCACCATCATCGGTCATGGTATACATTGGTATCTCATCTTATAAGAGAGCATTATACGTCAATCGACGTTTTTAAGGTAGGACATATCATAAATAGTCGTAAAACAGGTCATCTAAACTCTTACCTTGCAACTTAAATAACTATGATAGCCAACATCCGAGCGCTGCAAACACACAGCAACCGTGATCACGGCGCCATTGCTACGCGTGGTGACAACATTACTGCGCATCAAGAATCATGAAAATGTAAGGGGCCACGGTAACAAAAATGCAGTGAAATATACTTCTTGCGGATTTAAGCAGTATTCCGTACTGTTTGTAGATTGTTCGACATGGGGGGCAAATATGATGTCTTTGGGCGGGGAATGAAAACCAAAATGGGGACGTGGCGGCTAAGCAAAAACTTCTTAATACGGTGCATACAAGGCCATGTAATAGGTGTATATATATGGCATGGAGCATGGAGGCCAACGCGAGGAGTCTTCCTGTTTTATTATTATTTACGATATGTTCCGCCTCAAAACGACGAATGATGTACAATGTTTTTTAAACGCTAGGTGCTATTGTATACGTACACCTCTTCATTTACGTGCATATGCAATGCAATGGAAACCAAAAGTGTGTTATTGCATGCCTGTCCACCGACCAGTGAGCCAAGTCTGATGTGCAACGGGCAATGTTGGATATTCTTCAAATAGTTCACCTTTTTTGGAAAAAGAAATCCTTCTGCTAAAAAATGTGGACTACTTGAATTATCCTGGCTTCCACGAACCATTTGCATAGGTCTAAAAACGGTGAGCAATTACATCTGCTGTATTTCAGTGCTTTAACAAACTTCAGACCATCATATTCTGTTGAAACCACCTTCCACCAGGGAGCATAAGACAATGAAAGGACCGATCGCGTAGATTGGTCGCACAAGTTTATGACGGAATATGACGTAATTAACATCATTAATGGGCAGCAATCACCAGATTCCTCCTCCTGATTAAACAGAAATCGGGGTGCATTGCTTGTGTCACCGGCGATCCAAAGAAACACTGAAGCCAACTTACTTGCATGGATTACATTCCAATACTGACCCACCACCGATTCCCAAACGGGCAGCCGGAGAGTGCCTGACGCACGGTCGGCCGGATTTCCGGAGTTCTCTCGTCCGCTACGGCTGACGTCCCTCCGTGTCCGGCATCAGGCGGCAGGGCTGGCCTCCGCCCCGTCAGCAGGAGCCGACGGCGGACACTCGCTCCGCACGGCGTGCCGCCAGGGCTCGTTGATCGGGACGCCCTGCCAGAAGCGCACGCGCTCCTCGAACAAACGCTCGCCGACCGACGGCTCCGAGTTGAGCCGCATATGGCGCTGGCTCTGCGAGGTGAAGATGGGCCAGTCCGGCATCGGCAGCACGTCAGAGCTTGGCCGACCGGTGCGAGCGAAGCTGGTCCACACGCTGACCATGAAGCGGATCATGCGGTCATCCGGCGAACCGGGCACTGTCGGCGACCGCTCGTCGCCGCTGAAGAGGTAGAGCAGGTCGTCGCCGTGGGTGGGACCGAAGTCTGGCGCTCCTGGGGCAAAAATGGAAGCTAGTGACTGGCGGCCCGGTCCCGTGTGGTCCAGCAGATATTTGTAGACGGGCGCGTGCTCTGAGGCTAGCCGGATCTCCTCAGAAAATGGAGCGGTGTAAAAGCGGTCAGTGACGACGCGAACCAGCGGCAGAAGGTTGTCAGAGTTGACTGTTGCGTTGCCGACGTAGAAGTTGTAGACTTTGGTGGCCTGCTCCAGTGCATCGGCGCCGCAGTCCAGGATAGGCGACTCGGCTTTGGTGTTGAGGTCTGACAGGAGACCCCAGAGCGTGATGTTTCCAGCGAACAGGCCGTCCGGAGATATCGTGCGTAAAACATCAGGAAGAAATATGGTGCCCTCCTCTTCCATCACGCCGTTCATCCACGGAACCAAATTGAAGTTTCCGGTCTCCAAGATCGTCCTCGGGTCGTCGGGTAGAAACGGTGACTCAGATTCGCGATCAACGCGAGGTTGGAAGTACCTCTCCTGTTCGGCGTCCAAGATAAGAATCGCACCAAGCAGGTCGTATGCAGGTACGCCTCTGACACAATCCACCATGGATGACACGTCATCAGTGGTGCAGTTCACGAGATTTGCCAGCTTCTCCGCCAGTCCATATCGTCTACCAGAGGCGACGTAGCTTGCCATCGAGGGACCGGACTGGGTGATGGCATGCTGGAACAAACCCTTGGCGAGGGGGCTCAGCACCAGCAGAGAGACACTGGATCCGCCTGCTGACTCTCCGAAAATGGTCACCGCCTTTGGGTCGCCCCCGAAGCTGGCGATATTGTCCTGAACCCATTGCAGCAGCATGACCTGGTCCAGAAGGCCGTAGTTTCCGGGCGCGTTTATGTCATGCGTCGTGAAGAACCCGAACGGTCCCAAGCGGTAGTTGAACGTCACCAGCACCACACCACCGTCCATCAGAAATTGAGGTCCGAAGAAATCGCTGTTTCCGTCGCCGAAGAAGAAGCCCCCCGAGTGGATGAACACCATGACGGGCAGCCCGCCTGCCGCACCCTCCGCTGATGGCAACTGCGGCGTGTACACGTTGGCGAACAAGCAGTCCTCGGAGCCATCGCGCGTCTTGTTCTTCAGCAGGTTCAACTGGTAGCAGATGCTGCCGTGCTCCATGGCATCCACCACACCCGACCAGACTCCGTGACGCTGCGGCGGCTGGAAACGGAGCGCTCCGAGCGGCGGGCGAGCATACGGGATCCCCTTGAAGCTGTAGAAGGTCCTGCCGGCCGAGCTTCTCCCCACCACGCCTCTCAGCAGGCCCTCGCGGATCGCGACGAGTGGGCGAGACCCTTGGTGGTCACATCCCACCGCCACCACCACCAGCAGCGTCACGCTCAACAGCGTCTGCATCACGATGCACGCGTAGGCTTCTGGTCTCCGCTGACGGGTAGCCACGGCAGCCGACTTTGCGAGGCACCCAGCCGCTGGCCGGACCGTGAACAACTCGGGGTGCTCCCGGATACTTGAAGGCCACCACTGGCCGCAGGCAGCCAATCAGCGTCGCTTGGCAAATGACGTCATAGGGTCACCCCAGACGTAGGTCTGGCAGGTGCTGAGAATGGAATGCCAGTGGGACAAACTTGCACGGACCTGTTGCTTCTGAGCGACGATTAAGGTAGTTGAGTTCCAACTGCCATGCATCTGGTAGGTGTTTGCTCAATGGCAGCTTTGCGCAACATTCGCTACACACCCAGGCTTAGGGGCCATCCATAACTTAGGTCCGTATTTCTCGTCATTTTGTAACATTTTCGACCCCGTTACGCTCTGATGTTGCCAGAACATTGTCTTTCCCTAACTACACTCTGCTGCAGTTAACGCCCTCAAAATGTAGCGCTCATTTGTTCCCTATTTTGGGTGGTGGTGCTGAGCAAAAAACAGACGTGTTGCTTGTCACGTAGGAAACCAATGGCATCCGGGTTTCGGTTCTAATTTAAAGAAAAGAATCTAGCATGATCTGCAACCACGTCTGGCCATAAGATCATGCGGTCAAAAGAGATAAATCTGAAAAGATCCAGGATTCTCAAATGTCTTTGGATGAGAACTTAAACAAAAGTCACGATACCAGAATATATTTCAAATCTGTCTAAATGCAAGCTGTCTGGTCAGACCGTACGATTATGCATCGCCGCAACATGATCACGATTTGACTTCTGCATGATTAGCACATGAAAGGCAGAATTGTCAACCCACAAAAGAGCTGAAGAGCCCGTGCCCGAAAGAGGCCTGGTTCTTGGTGACGAGTATTTGTACGGTTGTGAGACTAATTCATGTATGATACTAGCGGAGGAGAAAGCCAACAATCGTGCGAGCACACCTGCAGGCCCTTGTACGCATACTAGCACGCGCAGTGATGTTTGGAACCATGGACCTGCCCGTTTTTTTTTTTGTTTTTTTTTATCCACGTCAAAAGGACGTTTTTCGCGGTCGCGCTATAATGGGAGGCCTCGGAGGCCCCCTAAAGCTTCCAAAACCTAGGAAGCTACAAAAAGAGAGGGATATAATGAATTGGAAATACTTCGTCAAACTATATTAACTAGGTGTGCCTCACTATTTGTAAATATGATCTTAAGCATATCAGATCAGGTTATAAAGGTCAAATTAGTTTTATAGTCACTCCCTATATAGTCACTTATAGTCCCTCATACTACACTTATAGTCACTCCCGAAGCGTGCTACGACATTGCCGGAAACGACTTTCAACAGCGTTGCGTAAAACGGTATGAGGAAGAGTAGCGACCATCAAGATATGTGCTTTGTGATATTCCATACCAGGTCAAATGGCAGAGGACTGTGTTTACTGCGGCCTGTTCCGCGACATCAAGAACTAAACAAGCAACACCAACGGGGAAAGCAATGGTAGGGAGTACATGTGACATATGTGACAGTATATGTGACATTCCATGGCTGCAGTATATGTGACATTAAGTATTGAATCATGCCACCTTTAAGAAAGCACACCTGGTGACAAAGGACGACGTTTCGCGTAGTTTGACATTGAACAGCTTGACCTTGCAAAAGCAGCAAGAGCGATGGTAATGCACTTCACAGTGATGATGTTGACGGTAATCAAAGATATTTTGGAGTGCGTTTTCTGTGAGAAATAAGTGTTATATTTTACGATTGAGCAGCGTATCACTGATACAATCTCAAGAAAGTCGTTAAAGGTCATGAATTGTCGAAGCCAGCAGCTTTAAGTTTTCATGACGTACATATGCTAGTGTAGAATTCACGAAATATAAATTGTCATACGGTGCTCAAAATCGTTGGGGTGCTCCAGAAATGTTTTGGTCGGGATCTGAGGCCCTCCTCTTAAGGTGGGGCTCAGGACTTACGCGAAATATCGGTGACTTAAGCAGATGCATAGTAAACATGCTGTACTATACAGTGGAACGTGCCATTTTGAATCACCTAGCCACTATGATCTTATATGACCCATAAGAGCACTAATAACACTGGGAAACGCGTGTCCATGTTTGTGTGTCCATGTTTGTGTGTCCATGTTTGAAGACTAGTACGCGCAGCCGTGCTTGGAACCGTGGTCCCACCGGTTAGGGGCGAAGAAGTGCCTTTTCTATCATTGACAAAAACAGGAAAAGCCTGAATTGCAACTGGATGCAAACTTTTCTGGGAGCCGTTGTGATGGAACTTTAAAGGCGGTAACTCACACAAAACAAGAGCTCTGTTTACATAGGTGAGTGTGCAGTCGCGAGATAGGAGCAAAAACGTTTGATCAATGGAACTTTCCAAGATGCCGAAAGCGAGCTGCTCTGGTACTACCACATCAGAAAGCTCGGATGATATGAGGTGATCTGGGCTAAAAATCGCGAATTTCGACTTGCCGAAATATCTGTGAGAGCTTGAAATGTATTTTTTTGCCATTGAAGTTTCCTTAAAAAGAAACTTTTCCAGTCCAAATAGCGGGCAGCTTAGGACGGGACACCCAACCTGCCGTATCAGCTGATAGCGCGTACACTCTTTGGCAATGTGGTCCGGCCGATCTTGGTGCGGCCTTGCACTGGCTAAATCCTAGAAATTTTCACGCCTTGTTCTTCACGTCCACTGCGTCAGCCCGCGAAACGTCGGTGAGGGTGTCTAGTTCTACGTTTTCAGTTGGCCTAATCTCCATCGAAGAATTTGGGAAAGGGGAAAAAGTTGGTTTCCATAGTTCAAGTGGGTGCTTTTGTGCTATTAATTACGAATCCAAAGCCAAGAGGCGTCTGGAGTTCAATGTACGCGTTAGCCACCCACTGGCGCAGTGGGCGATGATGAATGTCAAACGTGGTAATTCTAAGCCTGGCGTATGTTGCGTGAAGCGAGTTTCAAGCTAAATTGCGCTAATTTGTTAAATGATATTTGCTTGCGAAACGTATGTTTTTTTCCTGAAATCACTGTTACAAGTATATTCTTTCAGTGTCTGTGCTGTGTCCCAGCATTGGTTGTGACTATACATCCAACTCTGGGTATTCTAATTCACCACGTGCATGCAGTGAAATGGAAGTGTTGGTGTGTGTTATCGCATAGAAAGTATCAGACATGATGGTGATGATAATCTGAGTAACTATTCTGTCCGTGATAGCAATATCTTTTCTCAATCCTTTCAATAACCTTGAACGGTATATTGCAGCATACAAAAGTGTGGAAATCACAAAAAGTTATCGTGCATACACATGTAAGGATATGTTCGGGGATATTCACAGTGCTCAGCACCAGAACAACCATATCATGTCGCACCATTCATGGCATCACAACCCAGATTCTGCGCCATTCTTGTCAACCTGGGTGTGAACAACAAAGATTCCATGTCGTGATGCTAACGTCACATCTAATAAAGTGTTCTGGGTGCATTTTGCACACACTTTAGAGCTCTGCCTGTAGACCTAAGTCTCCAGGTTCATACTACAACTTAAACACTATTGCTGACATTGCAATTTATCATGTACATGAGTGAAATAGACAATAAAACAGAAAATGTATATGTATGAATAGAAAGACATAATGGGCAGCCAATGGCGCGCTCCGTACCCAGTTTTCGTGCGTTGCGCATGCTTTGTTGGTGCATGGATTGTCTTTCCAAGCGGATAACCACCTTTTTGTATAAGGACATTGAAGAACAAACTAACCTCTTTCACGCGCAAATCAGAAAAAGATCAGTGCCACATATGAAAATTGTTCTTCATGCCTTGCAAAAGTACGTTATGGCCTGATTATTAGGCGCTGTGCAATGATTTCAAGAGTGACATACAAACGTTCAGGACAGCTTTCCGACTAATCAGCCGGCTAGATTTTCCAAATTATCGTTCAATCAAGTGGAAAATTTGCCCCCGATGGTAGCTTTGCAATCACGCAAACGGGCACTGCCGGAGGATATAACTCCGAAACGGTGCAGCTGAGAAACTTAAAAATGTTACGGGCAACTTCAGCGCTAATGACAACCCTTGTGACGCATTGTAATCGAAATCTCATGGATGAAGGTGTCAGCCACTTGTCGACTTATCGTGAAATGCCCCAGCTGCGGGCCAACAGTGCATAATGTGCCATACTGCGAGGCTTTTTTCACTGAGCACACAATCGTTTGAGCACTGAAACATTGCCTGGCCAACTGGTTTAGTTGACAACATGCGCTACACGACTGTTTTGAACAAGTTACGAAACCGCGATAAGCCATGGGGGAAATGGCTTCCTTCCACATTCAGAGGGCGAGGAGATCAAAGTCATTAGGATGTCTGCAGTCAACGCCGACATGACCAACGTTGCACTTTCACAACGTTGTGGGCCTCAGCCCTCAGCCCGGTTCATAACGGCATCGCGAGCGCTCAAAACCAGTGTTAGTTTTTTCTGACATCTGAGCGGAAAGTCACACCTTCTCACAGTCTTTAAGACGTCTTAACACTGTTTTTCTTTCATCGTCTCCACCACAAAACAACCAGTCAAATCAATCAACATTTTTTTCTGTGAGTACCATTTACTGTCATTCAGAGCTTATGACCATATGGCTGTATTTCCCACATTGGATATGGGCAATGTTTGTGTCATGTGATGCATATGTGGGCGTACATTTTCATGCCTCTTCGTTGGCGCGCCACCCGTCCGGGACCAGAGGGATTCCGCGCACAGAGCGTGGGAAAGCGAACCAGCCGGCCATGGTCAAGGGCTTCCCTCTCCCCTCCATCCCACTCCCCCCCCCCCGAACAAACAGGTCCATCAGGCCGAGGGATGAATGCGGCTCGGCTCGACGACCCGGCCGGTCAACTCACGTCGCCACCGACCCACACAACAAACACCAAAACTGCAATATCTTACTGCGCTTCGAAGTGAATTTCACGACATTGTGTACCTCAACATATGAATTCATGTTAATGATTGACTGCATTTAAGTGGAACAAAACTTGTTTGGTGTACTGAAATTTTTTAGGCAACCCTTGAGG